TCTTCCTTTGTAGATGATGGGATCTATCCCTCTCAAACCTTTAGATACCTTAGTAAAAACTTCATCAGTCTTACTTCTCTCTTGTGCTAAGAGTAGACAGTGCACATGCTAGCAACAAGCCTGTCACTGCAACACACAAGAATGAGATGTAAATACCAGAGTGGGAGTGTGCTCTTCATCCACCGGCTGTTCCCACCATCACAGAAACAGGCATACAGCAGCTCAAGCTAAACAGGAAAAGAGAGCACAGGAAAAAGTTATCCAACTCTTTAAAAGGTAATGACCAATTTTTATATTTTCCAACATAAAACAACTTAATGTTCTCGATTTTTTTGGTGTTGTGATAATGAATAACAAGTACTCCTTGTGCTTTGTACAGATTTATTTCATCAAACCTCTGGTATGGTTATGTGTTTTCATGAATGCACAAGTAGACAACAAAGGTTTCTGCTGAGAGCTGTACAGTGTTACACCTAAAAACCATCAGAACTACAAGTAGAGTGAACTATGTCCAAAGCTATATGTGGATTTGTTGCAGAAGAAACTGGGTTTGTTTGTTTGGGGTTTTTTGTCCAGAAAAAAAAGACCATAAATGAGCTAATGCTTACATAGTGTGAAGGATAAGGAGATGAGAACTCAGAGGTAAACTGGAGTGGTATGCCATTTCATACTGCAGATGTACCTTTTGAGATTTAATTTAATTTGAGATTTCCACGTGCATCCGAAAACAAATTTAAATAATGTTAAATGGTTTATATGGACTGGCGTTTTTTCAGCTTTTCAAAATGGTAAGGAAATAGCAACACACAATTTTTGTAATGGAGTTATAATGGAGTTGAGCACTTCTGGACTTAGTCTTAGAAGAGTGCTTTTAATGACATTTGGACAGAGATTACTTTCCCAGTTACACCAAATAGCAATTTTCACTATTAATAATGCTGGATTTTACTTTTTTTCCCACAAGAGTGTATTTTTGAGGAAAGTTCATAAACAGAGAGGTTGTTTTTTTTAACAGTGCTTCAGCGGTTACTTAATAATTGCAGCATCCAGTCATACATTAAATTTGAACAGCTTCCTGGGCCCCTCAGTTCAGGGAAGGTGTTGAGGTGCTGGAGCAGGTGCAGAGAAGGGCAACGAGGCTGGTGAAGGGACTGAAGCACAAGTCCTATGAGGAGAGGCTGAGGGAGCTGGGGTTGTTTAGCCTTGAGAAGAGAAGGCTCAGGGGAGACCTCATCGCTCTCTACAACTCCCTGAAAGGAGGTTGTAGCCAGGTGGGAGTTGGTCTCTTCTCCCAGGCAACCAGCAGTAGGACAAGAGGGCATGGCCTTAAGCTGTGCCAGGAGAGGTTTAAGTTAGGCATTAGAAAGAAATTCTTTACAGAGAGGGTAATCAGGCATTGGAATGGGCTGCCCAGGGAAGTGGTGGATTCTCCATCCCTGGAGGTTTTTAAGATGAGGCTGGACGTGGTGCTTAGTGCCATGGTCTAGCAACTGTGGTGGTAGTGGATCAAGGGTTGGACTTGATGATCTCAGAGGTCCTTTCCAACCCGTCTGATTCTATGATTCTATGATTCTGTGATCAAAGGGTTATTATTCATATTTCAGAATGTGTCAAAGGCCTTATGTATAAAGCTTAAGAAATTAATTAAACAAATACCACCTTATTGGTGTACTAATAGACAATATAAATAATAGCATATAAATAATATGCATATAAAAATGGAATAAATTAGCTTTAATGAAAGTATAAAGTTAGATCTCTTCTGAGTATGAAAAGAATATAAATTATTTTTAAATGGTAGAAATAATTTTAAAGACTGTTAAGTTTTAAGGCATGAAAATGATGTTTATGAAAATTAGCCAAACAGTTCTTATTCATTATGTGGATATTACAAAATGGTAATTAAGAAAGGAATTAAGGAATTCCTCAAGAGAATTTAAAAAAAAAAGACATATTTGGACAAATTATTTCAGCTAAATTTAACATTGCATTGTTAACTGTGTCAATAAACCAAAGCTAATGTCCCCACTTTATCCCAGCTGCATAGAGAACATGATTACATTCCATATATTTTAATAAAACTTTCAAAACAGCTGGAAATAGTACCAGCTCACATTCCTTTTTAAAATTAAAACTGGAAGACAGACTATTCTTTCTATGAATATGTTACTTTACATGTGAGATTAATCTCTACATTAACAAATTTAAGTTTCATTTGAAACTTTCATAAAGGTTTCAAAATTTTTACACTTAAAATTTTTAGACATACAAAAGCAATGAAGCTTCATTCCATAGTGATTTTTAGGGTAAAATTCCTTTCTACAGATCATAGACATCAGTCACATACACAATTGCATGTGACATAGTCATCCTAGGCTCTCCTTGTAATCAAGGGAGAGAAGGACTACTGGGATATAATTCATCTGGCCATTTTAGGTTTCTTTAGTAATATGTTTTAAATTACACCAAAGAATCACCTGTTTCTTTCAACCGATGGTGAAAGAAATAACTGGCATGCGTCCTACCCTTTGCCACCCAGCTTTCCTTTAGAGCTTTGCCTTGTATTTACAGATAATCAGCAGAGTAGATTTTGCCTACATTCCTAAAAACCTAGATTTACTGGATTATGTATTTTGACATGTAGCAGTTTCACCATCATTTCAGTTCTTGGAGCCTAAAAAACTGTGAAAATACACCAGCATCAATTTTATTTACAGTATATTAAATTACTGAACATTAACCTTTCTTTTTCTACTTGGCTTGTTTGGGTTTTTCTTTCCCTGCTTTTCAACAACTGTTTTGAAATATTTACAGATTCTGTAAAGTCATTTCTATGGGTGTCTCCAGCTGAAATCTTCGTCACTTCAAGAGAAAGAATGGATACAGGAAAACTGAAATTTATACAAAAATGGCTGAACAGGAAGACCTGTGTATGTAACCAGGACTGTGTTATATGAACTAGCATTTGATAGTGTGCTATATTAAATATTGAGTTTGGGAAGGACATAGTGTAACAAGAGCATGTTCTAAAGCTGCATTTACCTGAGGCTGCTCTGTGCTTGGAAGATCTCGTCACTCCTCAAGAGCATACGTATAAAACCAGTACAGCACTGACAGTCTCTAATTTTAAGGTATATCTTATCAGTATCAAGATATATTAGTTTACAGAATTTTACCTCATAGCCTGGTAAGCAAAGCTAGAAAATACAAGCAAAACTATCACAGACTGGTAATTTCTTGTGGCTAAAGAAGCTTGCAAATTAAAAACGTAACAGATTTTATTTTTGTGTAAATGTATTATGACATCTACCTCACCAAAACCTAAAAAAACTTTAAAACCCTAGTAAAGCACTCATTGACTCAATAAAAGAAAAAAGCTGTGGTTCATGTCACCTGATTTTCTAACATGACTAATTTTAAACAGGTTGTCTAAACCTATTTCCACACTTTTACAATAGTATGGATGGAATTAAATCTAACTTTACAAATGAAACATCCATCCCTGATGGATGAGAGAAACTCTCAGGGGGAATTGTACTATAAGATCATTGTAGGTCCCTTCCAGCTGTACCATTCTTTAGTCTCACATAATTTCCTTTTCTACTGTCTCCTCACTGTTATTTCCACGTCTAAGGTTCTGACTGCATTGTCGTGCGCTGCTCTTCTGTTTTATCCATTTTACATCAGAATTACTTCAACGAAATCTCAAGGTTGAGATAAGCATTCATCTTTTGAATTATTTTTTCTAGGCCTTCAAATTTTTAGGAGACTTGCTAATCATGTTCAGCTGTCCCCTAATCAGCACAAGAAGCTATTTCAGTCTTTGGTTTACAATACATCCATTCTGTTGATATTTTCCCTGGTGGAAAAACCTGCAATATTGAGTGATTATAGACTGAAATCTACTATACAGATAGTCATAGCAGATGTGGAGTGATCCATCAGATGTCAATTTGAAACACTGATTAATACATAATTAATATTATCATAGATAAATAAATATATCTTCTCCAGGATGAACCTTTAATTTCCCACTCTTGCAGCTCTGAAATTTTCAGTAGCACTGTCATCTTCAAGTGACATCTTTATCAAAATATTACGAAGACAAACTTTCAAAAAACTATTATTTAACTTACTAGCTTTCCTATTTTTAGAAAGTAAAATTATAGAACTAATAAAGTATGTACAGTGACTGTTGCTATGTCGGTTTGGAAAAGTCATTTCATTTTGGCTGGCTTTGCACCCACTTACTTCACTTACCCTAAAATCTCTGTCTCTCTTAAACAAATGGTTCTCCAGAAACCAAAATTACATGGCTCAGTTTTACTCCAGGCTGCTTGAAATTTACACAGTGGCACTAGTAAATAGTTTTGGATGAGGAATTGACAACCTAATATCATATGCATCTATTAAGGTTACTTGAACTCATTAGAGAAAGTATTGTGTATAGGGCATTACAGACAAAACTTTGCCAACCAAAACTGAATTTCAGTTAAATTATTTGTTAGCTATTCCTTTCCAAAGCGTAAAAAAAGATCCCAGATATTACAGATTGAAAAAGCTATTGAATTCCTATATAAAAGATTAAATTGTTTTGTGACTTAAAATCTCAGCCTTCAAACAGCACTAACAGTGGCAGCTCCTCTGAATCAGATTCTTTAGAAATCCATGATGAGCTAAATCTCTTGATTCTTGGTTTCCAGACAAAAACTGCATTACTGAAAAAATCGTGTTGAAAACGTAGGTCCACTTCCAAGCGTGTCTGTTCTTCTGTGTATTTCATTACTTTTTTTCCTAAAGGATAGAATTTGATGAATGCAACCACTTGTGAATACTCTAAAATATTCGAGGTATTTTGTGACATACAATAGCTAAGGCAAGGAATATACTGTAAGCCATACATAACTGTACTTCTGTTCTTTTTTTGGAGGTTGGTTTTGGTTTTATATTGGAAATAGTGACTCTATATTAAAGGTTTCTGTTTCCCTCTATTTTTTTGTAGCATGCCTTTGGAAGAAGGAGATGGAGAAAAAAACAGGCTTGGAAGGAACCCTAAAATATACAGGGGTGAAGTGAATGGTATTGATATTTTTCTTTTAGTTCTACTTCTGAACTCCTAGTATGGAGAACTTCTATTACACAACAGATACAAATGCTGTAATAACTTAAGAAAATTAAGGAACCTTAATTGTTAAAAATGCTTTCCCCTCAATCATGCCTGGACCCTGCTGCTATGTCTGTAGTATTAATAAACAGGGTGAGGACATATATGCTCAAGAACTACTAGCAAGCAATCCCCTGTAAATGTGATTTGCTAGCACATAAGCTTCTATGCTTTCAGTCCTTTCTGACTAAGGCTCTGTCAGAAAATATTTAGGTGCTGTCTAGGAAAATACTGCTGGACAGAAACTGTTCTCTGCTAGGCAGTAAGCAAGACCCTGTCTGGTGTGGGAATGAGAAATTATTTTAGTTTTATGGGTGTGTTTGCTGCTCACATCAGGGCTAGTAGACCAGCCCTTATCCTATTTATTTATTCATATAGATGTAGCCTCAGGGTTTGCTCTAGATGATTGCTAGCCAGAGGATAACCAAATAAAAGAGCATCACTTTAATTGGAGTGCCATTGCTTTAATGGGACCTGTTTGTTATCTGCAATTCTCCTTAAGTTTGCAGAAAAGCCTAAAGGAGGAAACAAGATTGTCCTAGCAAAGGAGGATAAACTGCTCAGTGAAAGAATTGGGAAAAAAAAGAATTGGAAAAAAAAGAATTGGAAAAAAAGATTTGGAAAGTTGCAAAAGACATAAAAAGGGAAATTTAGAATATGTCATTAAATAACTCCTTAAGGTCTGCTCATGGTTGAGCATAAGGATTTCCTAGTGTATATGTTAGCCATAGAGGAAACAATTCAGCTACAGTCCATCCAGGGTATTGCCTTTTGAAATCAGTTCCAAGATTCCCTAGGGATAGGAAAACACTACCATTTCTCCCAAGCCTCCACAGTGCTGCAGCCTTGAGCAATTTTATTTCCCTCTGGTACAAATGTATCCTCTTTCTCTTTTTTTTTTTTTTTTTTTTGCTATGCTATTATTCTCAGGCTGATGTATCTGCTGTTCAGAGGAAATCCATCAAGTAGACCTCACCTTACATTCAGGAAGGTTGTTTGATTTCTACTGTATTATTTATTTGCATGTTGCTTCTAGCTTAAATGATCTTCTAGTTAACAAACTGTTTTCAAAACTCCTATAATGTTTTATGAATATACCTAAAGAAGTATTTTTATATATGTGTGTGCATGTGTATGTGTATATACAGACATGACACAAACTGCCATTCCTAAACTTTTGTTTACATCTTCACAGCATGAACTATGGTGTGCCAAGCAAGGGGTCACACTGACTATGCCACAGTTTCTTTTCTACTCATCCAAAGGGCTATAATTGCTGTCATCCAGCTAGAAATCAGCTGGATCATACACCTGGATCCACTAGCTGGGAAATGTTCTTAGGTTTGTCAATTTAGACAAGTTCTTGATAATACAAATGACATTGACAGTATAGGTGAAAAATCTGACATTTTAGAATGTTTTGCCTCCTCCTGCATGCCTTTTGTAACTTTTTTGTAATCTTCTGCCATTGTGGTAACAGATGATAAAAATGACAATATAAACATTAATTTTAATACTAAATATTAAAATTTAAGTTTCCTAGATAGTCAATAGTAAGAGTTTGTTTCACAAGAGGGTGATTCTGCCTGATGCAGTTTAACAAGCAAAGTTAAACTAATTGAATTTCCTTATGGTATCTTCAAAAAAACCTAGCCTTCCTCATCGACTGTATGAGGAACTCTGAGGTACCCTGAGAGCAGTTCAGTACTTTCCAGGTTGGGATTGATCATACCTAATTTAAAACTGTTTAAAAGCTGATTGTCTAGCCTAAGTATATTGCACACATTTCAACTACGATCAAGAGCAGAGGTGTCTTTTCTAGGATAATTCATCTCATCCTCTAGAATTGTCTGTTATCTCCACTGATCATGGATCCCCTACTGTGGAATAAAAAATCGTCGGGGAACAAGTTCAAACACTGCATATATACTTACTTAAAATACTGAATTCTTTACTGTCTGGGAGTGCCTCAGATTGTTCCAACTTATTTTCTTCTAGGCAAATCCATTGAATAAGATGTGGATGCAATTGTTGACATTAAGGTTGTTCAGTGAGCACCAGAATCAATTAAAATCTGAAGCTGAACTCTGTCCATCTTTATTAGATACCTTACACTTAAGTTTCATGCGTTTGTAGAAGCAGACCTTCTCAAAAAGTACCTAAGTTTCCTGGAGAGAGAACAGTGCTACTAGTTACGGCTATTCAACACTACTCACTTTCAGGTCTGAGGGCTTGTCCTTAGCCCTGTATCACTCAGCAGTAAAGACATAGCCCACATGACTAATTTGGGGTAAATAACTCTCAGATGGCCAGTGCTGGTGAGGTAACTCTTATCTAAGCTGTAGGTGGAAGCAAGATGTCCACGTCAGGTAAATTGAATTCTTATACTGACAAGTTTGTAGCTTGCAGTGAATTGCTAGCCCTTAACAAAGCTGTTTATTTGGTTTGATTTGTTTTTACAATTATTTCTCCTCTTCAGTCCTTGGCCTTTATGATGGGCTGAGTTCATGCTGAAGATTTTCTTTTATGTATACTAATATGGTTTTCTCTTCCCAAGTACCTATTTTTATGAAAACTACAAGAGCTTACATATTTTTCATACTTCCAACTCTCTGTCTGAAGTGACTGATCAAGCAGGAAGTGACTGAAATTAAATTAGTAGCATATACATACCATACTCACACAGTGAGTGTTGCCACAGAGGTCTTGTTTCCTTAGGGGATCATCTGAAACTGTTTTACTAATGATCACTATAGGCAATGACAGTGTAATGTCCTGTCCCTGGTTTTGGGACAAGAGTTTCAGATATTTGTGAAGTAATAAGTGTTCTTCCAGGATGCCTTCACCTTTTATGAGAATACATGCACAGCTGGCCTGATAATAATTTATTGTTGTGTATCATGCTCACTTAATTATACTGGTGTTTTTATAAACCAGGCTTATTTTGAAGTAATTGAAGTAGAAAAATTATTGGAATAATAAAGCATGTTAAACATACAGAAAGACATTAGACATTATATAATAAAATTTTCCAAAAATTATCATAATCCACCTGCACCCTTAGAGTCACAGGGCTAGTTATTCTGAAGGTTTTCTACATACATTCACTTAGGCTAACTGTTTGCAAACTATTACAAGTGAGAGCCCAACAAGGTGATAATAGACTCAAACAGCAGTATATTTTTTCCAAGAGTTAGCAAAATGAAAGCTTTGTAAGTATAGTTGTTTCGTGTATCACAAAACACACAAAAGCTTCGAAATGTGCTTTTCTCCCAGATTATCATGCTGAGAGATTACAGACTCTCTTTGAGACCTTTCAGCTTCAGCTAATGTAATTTATACTATTTCATAAGACCAAAGGCCAAAAATGTTGTAACCAGCTAGAAGCAGCAATACCCCAACATAAAGAGAAGGGAAAATAATTTTTTTTGTCTTCATTCCTTGCCATAATAGTTCTGTCTAAACCAATTCATTTTAAATTCCCTTACTTTCAATTTCATGGTTTCTTTCATGCTGTCCTTTATGTCTTGAAGAAAATAATATATATCACTGAAATATTTCTTTAAAACAGCCTTTTATTCCTTTTGGCAGAAATCCATGTTATAATCAAATTTAAAATAAGATGCACACCAACTTTAAACTTCGTCTTTAAACTGGACAGCTGGGAAATTTTCTGTTTGGATTGTGTTATCTGTCTAATTGAACTGCTTTCTGAGCAATGCAGATTGTGGTGAAAGGTGCCCTCTAGCAAGATGGCATTTCTAATTGACTAATCTGAACTGTAACATTATTGCTGCCTTTCATTTGATTGGGTCATGGTGAGTACATCATGATGCTTCCGATCCTTAGGGAGGGTGGATCACCACCTAAATTTAGGATGTTATGAATTATGGGCTAAAAAAGTGTAGTTTGCACATAAACAACCAGCTGAATTTCTTCCTGACATGGTCTGTTACTACAAAGACATTAGAGATGCTATTTTAAGTCACATGTGCAAGCTGCCTGGAGACTATAATCAGGTTGACTAATCAGGTGGCATGGCAAATTTGGCCTGTCATATGGTACATTGAGTCCACTGTCTTTGTATTCAACTCTAGTATTTTTTGCTTACTGAGGAAATAAAATCTGCTTTCTCTTCACTTACATTCAAATTCTGTTCATCCAGAAAAGTAGGTATACTATTGCACTAAACTAGTCAGTTATGTGTGAGCATCAGATATAGGATAAAACCTTGGAGTTTGTCCTATATAAAAACTAGGGGCTCTTATAAGAATTATTATACTGCATCTGGTCTTCTTTCAGAGCCTTGATTAAAGATAGAATGAAGTCTGTGTTGCTAATGGTTTATTGGTTTGTGGCTCATTTGCCAGTTCTCCCTTTCCAAAATATTGCTTACATATTTTGTAGTACATGATTATGCAGAAACAAAACCACAGATGTCTGTATTACTGAGGTTTCCCTCTCCTAACTGCATACTCTCTTAAGCACATCCCGTGAAATATCCATGTCTTGCCCATTTATTTCATAATCACTTTAGAGATCTTCTAGAAGCATTTTATGTTGGTTCTTGTGATTCTCCTCTATCTCTTTGACTTCCAAGTTTCATTTCTTTTTTTTCCCTGCATTTCTCCTATTTCATTGGCATGTCTGACTCTGGCAACATTGTCAAGACATCCATCCGCTTCTGTTGCTGCGCTTCAGGTTTGTTATACAATCACTAGAGTGATTATCCAGTGGGCAAACCTTGGCTTGATGTTTTTCAAAAGGTCAGACTAGTCCCCAGTGGCACAGTCATACCAATGGTAGACACTTTGGAACAAAAAAATGTTGTTTTCATTCTCCAAATATACAATATAAAGACATACAAAATTTAGTTTGGCTTCCATCTAATCAAAATATTTCTGTAGAGAAAGAGAGTTGGGAAGGATAACTAACAGAAGGATGGAATTAGGCAATCCAGCTGTAGCAGTCTAAATCTGTTGCTGGCCTATACTAGTTGTCCAGGTTTCTTAGTGTAGAAAGCCAGGAACATCTAAGGATGATGCATGTCAGTTATCCTTCGCAGACTGGAGCCATCCATTTGAAGGACCATACATCACTGTCTACAAAGGGAACCAGCCTATAATTTAGTTGCATCTGCAATGTTAAAGTGATGTTCTGCTTCAAGATCCAGTAGAGAAAAGGCTAACTATTCAAGACAGCTTCTACGAATCTCTGGAAAAAAAAAGTAAAGGGAAGGGATTTCAAGTTACAGTGAAGTTACAAAGGAAGGTTGCTTTATCAAATAATTTCAGAACTCAGGTATCTCTTACTGAGTTAGGAAAGTGTATTTTATCACTGTCCAGAAACAGCCTAGAGTGGCAGTAATGATAGAGCAACTGCTATACTGACAAGATGTTGTTGCATTATTCAAGGAGCTTGAGTGTATTTAATCACACTTTTCTCATAATTTGATGTTTGCTAAGGACATAGCCATATACTCTTAAATATTAATATAAATACTCTTGTTCTATATAAATATTGCTCTTCTTTCCATTCAGGTGCTATTATTCTCTTGAATTTCAAAATAATCTTAAAATACATTTTGCTTTCCCTAGCCTGAACAGCACAGCTGAAAGAAAGGAATGAAAGGAAGTAGGAGTAGGGGTGAAAGGACAAGCTTATTGCTACTACAGTTACCCTCATCTGATGTTACAATTGCAGGTTAGTAACATGCTGAATTTTTCACAATACTGTCCTTGATAACTATAAAGAAAATATCTTATTTTTATGAGAATGAAATTCTTTTTTTCAGAACAATTTCTGCCAAGTTATGTCATATCCCATCTTCACAATCATTCAAGTTACAAAGCTACATATTTCCTTGCTTTAAGTGAAGATCTTTGCTCACATCAAAGTTCTTCACAACTGATCATAAAATGAACACTGGTAAGGCACCAGAAGGTCATTATTTCTGCCTCTGCTCCTTTCTGCTAACATACCTTGTGCCTCTGTATCTCCTTTTTACAGAAACATCCTGTATGTGTAGTCCCAGACTGAAACTGTGGAGGTATACTTTGACACAATTCAATGTTCTTCTTTGAACTTTTAAAACTATACCATTTCCTCACTTCAATTTGAAGCTCTTCAAAATTCTTCTGTATGCAGACAATAAATACACGGACATATCGGTAAAAATCCTGTTGTTCCAAACTCTAGAGACATAAAGTCTGAAAAAAGATTGAGTGAAATGGGAATGTAGACACTTAGGAACTTGGAAGTTGTGTCACGTTTAGACAGAGTTCAGATCAAGTATAGTATGTATATGCCAAAGTATAAAACAGTGTTGTTCAACAGGTGTGTGGGAGGAGTTTCAAGCTCCATGATATATCAGGTATTGTGAATGCCTACATACGGTGCTAATCTCTGGGGGAACAAAGTGTGATCAGAGGTACTTGTGGTTTGCAGGCACGAAAGCTACTGTTTTGGATGAGACTTTGGTGGCTGATCTGTAGATATAGGAATGCATACTATTTTGAGTGGAAAACAGAATGAAACATCTTGCCAGTACATAGTAAATACAACTCAGGTAGTTTTAGGAATCTATAATACCTAAACTTGAGCTGGTCAATGTAGACTTCTTTTATACTTAAAGGAAAGGAAAAGGCAATTTTAGGAATTTATTATGTATTCCAGTAGGTAAAAAGTTCACTCTAGAAGAAACTGTTCTCTACAGTGAGAAAAGGAAGCCTAGATGGTTATGTCAAGTGTAGATTCTAAAGTTTAAATATATGTATTTACTAAGGTGAATCCTAGCAACAGTGTTGAACCCGACTTCACCTATGGCCAAAAAAGGTCTTGACTTATACTGGCTGACCATCTGACAATAACTAAACACTGGAATTATTTCTCAGTTAGTGACAGAGAAGAAAATCAGTTCGAATTCACATTAACTCATTGGTTACTTTTTGGTTCAGGAAGTATTGTTCAGGAAGTTCAGGAAACATTTCATAGGATTTTTGTTTTGCTTTGGTTTCTTGGGGTTTTGGGTTTTTTTGGGGGGTTTTTCTTTGGTGGGGTGTTTGCTTATGTTTTTCTTTTCTTTGTCTAGTTTTTGGTATGAATATGGGTAGCTAGGCTGTATTAAAAAAAAACAAAAAACCAAATTCAGCATGTTTACAGTAAATAAGCTTAATAAAAATATTAGAAGGTAGAGATAAATGCTACAGTTTTAGAAAAAACTTGAGCTTAATTCTGCACAGGGTGGAAAAATATCACGACAAAAAAATACTGGAATTTACAAAAAAGGAACCATTCTGTTAAATCCACAGACTATAGTGCTTCCCAATTTGTGCAGTAGGATAAAAAATGGGCCATATAGGATTCACGGAGTATTCAAGATCCACATCCAAGAAGTAACTTTACATGACAAAACTTAATGTCTTTCTGTCTAACTATTAAATGTGTGAAATGATATTGAATGTATTAAGCCAGGCTCCCTTGGTGTTAATCTGAATGACACACAGTCCTATGAATGAGTTAAACTATCTTGTACACTGAGGGGACATTTTGACAGCAGATGTGGAGGTGTCTTATACCAGCACCATTTGGTTACGTGACAGTTCTTTTCTTTTTCCTTCATTTTTTTTCCTATCCAGAAAGCTGAGTATTACATTCTTATTAGACTTAAGAACACAAGTCTCTCACACCATCTAGTCTGTCATGACTGACTAGTGGTACAGTAACTTAGCATTAGGTAAAAGGCAGGAATCCAGCAACCATACTGAATGATAGAAGTCATGCTTGCAATTATTGCTGTTAAATATAATGTCATCCATCCATGTAAGTGTTCTTCTATGTTCTCCATGTACCTGTGGAGACACTTTGAATCTTAAATAGCTGTAGGTGACTGAAGATTTGCTCTGAATTTCAGTATTTTCAAGTTGAAGTTTCAGAACTTCAGCTACAAGACCATATCTGGCAGCAAAATGAAGATCCATTTTTGGATTTCACCTTTGTATCTCATAGTGCTTGCAAGAACTCTATTTTATTATGTCTTGTTCCAAGCCAATAAAGACAGGATATCTGTGTTAGATGTCCACATTCCTTTTTGTGAAGCTTGACCCTTAGAGGCCCCACATTGCCTTTTATACCAAACTAAAATGTAACATGTCAAAAGCTAACAATAACATAATATATGATACAGATACTCATAACTAACTGAACACTAACTATGATAACACTGCAGGAAAGTAGCCATCATTAAGAGCCTTCCAGAATTCCAGCCTTGCTCTTTTCTGGAGAGGTTAAGCCTTGGTGTATTGAGGCTGTGCAGTCCCACATGCTTGGAAAATTTAAGGGTTAATTTATTTCATTTGTCCACTTATTCATCCACAAGTAGAGATGACTCAGGCACTCTTACTTTCAGTTTCCATTGAACAAATATCAAGAGAAGACAAAAGATGCTTTCTAAGTCCTATTCCATAACAGGAATGTTAAATATGGACCAGAATCTGGTTTGACATCATTTTTTTACCAAGTATTTTAGTAACAATCCTATTGTATTAGATAAGGTAAATGTAGACTCATGCTTGCATATCTAAACTTATATTTCAAATCAAATAAAGAAAATTCATTAACTCACAATCAAAGTGTCAAGTGTCTATGAAAACAGACCAGACATGCAATCATGTATTTAGTTTCTAATTGAGATACTACTTGAAAATGAGAAAAAGTCTAGAAAAAGCAAGAGTCAGATTTCCATTATACTTTAAAAAATATAGAAAAATGCTTTGAGAGCATTTTTCCTCTGTCATCCAGGTAGATTCTTTCACCTCATTTCACTTTTATGTGGACTTTACATTCTGTATTTCTAACTATGAATAAATAAACTCCATATTCTCAGGGTATAGCAAAGCATTTGTGAGATCTTTGCCAAAGGTGGTAATTGTTTTCTGATTAATGTCAGTTAATAGCACATGCCCCTCCAAAAATAAAAAATAGAAGTAGTTACGTGCATGAAATAAAAACTAAATTTCCTCTCTATTTGAGCTTGCTGATGCTCAGGTATTGTTAATATTGATGCATAAGCTGTGTGTTCTATTTCACCCATACAAAAATGAGACAATTCCTAAACATTCCTGGAGTCATCAAACAGCAGTTTAGAGAACTGCACACATTTTCATATCATATCAGTATTTGGGCATCTAAGTTATGCCTTCAGTTTCTCAGCTTTTCCTAGCTGAATATGTGAATCTTGGTATTTGCCTTTCATTTTCATTGGATATCTTTGCACAGAAACAGTGTCTGGTTGCCAGTCAGGATACCTATATTAATAGGTATTTACAGCATAGATTAGCATTGCAAGCATAGCAATATGTAGCATCCAGTATCTAAAGGCATACAATGCTTTAGTTATTTTTTTATTCTCTATCCATTTCCAGGTATGTATAAGGACAGAGTTTTCAAGAAGGACATCCAGCATGTCTGGGAAACTCAGTCCTTAATGGCAGTCTGCAGTATCATAAACAGCAGCCTTCTCCTATTTTTCCATTTTCCAGGTTTGTAAGTTTTGAACGATTACCAAATTAGATATGCATATCAATCTATAAATTAAATAATCATTTATAAGAAATGAGACATCGATACCAAATAAAAGATAAAAACTCACAAAGGTGAAATGTCAGTCAAAACCTGAAATTGTCCTGAAAATGCAAATTGTTAAAAAGAATCAAAATAGAGAATCAAAATACAGCCCCACCAAACCAAACCAAAACACTGATGCAAAGTAATATAAAGTGACATAATTTCCTTATTTACATTCACTTTTACAGCATATAGTGCTTTTAGTTTTATTCTGCATCCAGCAACATGAAAATTTTTTAAAAGTGAAAGTTGAACTATCATGTGATTGAAGAGGCACCTAAAAAAGCTCCTACAAAAACTATCTGTATTTGGTAAGACATGGAATCAAATAATGAGAGAGCACACTATACAAGTTTGAAATTCAAGTTTATTTAGCAGCAATTCATAACTGGTGAACAGTTAATACTCAAAACCATGAACTGAGAACAAAGTAAATGCAGAGAAAAACCATAACTAAGCTCATACAGCAACGTCCATACATTTCAAGGAAGTAGGTAAATCAGAGATAATTATGTGAAAGAAGATGTAGGAACAAGCAAATCTTACATGTGGGAAATTAAAATACATATCTTTGAAAATTTAGCATTGAAAACCTTGAAAAGTACAGATTTGTTCACAGTAAAATATTCAAGGATTTCAAAATAAATAAGATGAAGATACCTGGAAAGGTAGTGGCATCAAGAAAAAGGGCTAAAGGTGTTGACATACTAAATGCATTTTGTTGATGTAAGGAAAGAAGACAAAAATAAAAGGACTATAATAGATAATTCTGTCTACTGATTTTTAAGGTCAAGAACTTGTTTTTAACCTCGATGCTTGCAATGAATATATTACTTGTTCCGCAGAAGATTTCTTACGAAACAATGGGGAAGCAGATGCTGGTTTTAAATTCAAGCAGAATAGCAAGTCAGAATGTGAGAAAAATAGGCTGTTTCTAAAGGTCAAAACATTTGACTTAAACCAAAAATACGTTTAACTATTTGAATACTAATTTCATTTACAAAAATTTATGTATGTGAATGGAAAAAAAATAGCACTTTATAACATTAAATAGAACACTATCATAATATAAT